CATTAAAAACGTACATCTTACAATAGATTACATATTTAAGACATGTATTCAACGCACATTTTAGTAGGTCTATAGCGGATAAAAAATTCGATGATAAACAGGAGCAACATTATATAGAAATAGGCATCTTCGAAGAGGTAACATTATGATCTAGTGCGTCTTAATTTTCTGTATTATGTACACATATGTAAAACCTCCGCCTTGTGAGTTCGTGTAATTTATTATTTTTCATCTGTGGTAGGATATATTACGTAAGATTTACATACATAAACAGTCGTTGCTAATTTTCTGTGTTTGAAAAATGTAATAGCAATATCCCTGACGTTATTGAATGAATCATTTCAACAATTTACTACCATCATCGAAGGTCTTTAAAAGTTTTTTTTTTTTAAATACAAATTTCAAAATTGAATTTTGTTGCAAACATGCATCTTTCGTTTCATACCATGCCTGATGTTTGGCATTGTTTAGCTGGTGAAATTAGTTTTAGTTGTATTTGCAATATCTGGAAGACTACTTGTCTCCTAAGGGTCTGAAGTTTTCCTCTACATGTCAAACTGTACGCTCCCACTCTCTCTACGATATTAACCAGAAACGATAAATTAAAAGTTTAAGTTGAAAGTTTGGTTGAGGTGACACACAAATCATATCTTACATCAATTAAGAATGTTATAGGTCGATTTGTTCTGTTTTACTCATCTTTTTTTGTATCATATGAACTAAAAATTAAAGTAAACTTAGCTGCAGTTTGCTGATATCTGGGACTCTACTTTTTTCCCCAAATTTATATCAGATGTTTTGTAATGGGATAAATGGTGTCTGTCAGATGGATTTTATATTCTAAAAGATGCTGATTACTGCTCATCATGACTGTGTCCGAATTTAGTGGAATAGTTTTAGAAAATAAATCACGCGATACCCACCTTACATAACATCATTTTCACAATTCTATACTCGTTTTTAGTAACTTTATTCTCACTGTTAGAACTCGATACTCATTCGTTTACTCGAAACTCACTTGTTCTCAATCGATACTTCTGATACTTGACAAAACAGAAATCCTCCCGACAAAGAGAGGCGGAAGATAACAAGGAGATACTCAATCTCATAAGCCGATAACAAACTGACAACGCCATGTCAAAAAACGAATAACGATGAAAAGACAAACAGTCTACAAAGCACAACATAGAAAAAACTAAAGACTGAGTTACATAAACTCAACCAAAAACCGGGGATGATTTTAGGTAATTCGAAGGGGTAAGCAGATTCTGCTCCTCAAGTAGGTCCGTAGTGTTGCTCATGTAAGTATATATTGAGAGAAAAACCTTCTTCGGTGATGTCAAATTCGAGGAAAAGAGGAAAGGGCTTGTGCTTACAATAATTTGGAACATATCCGTGATCATCCGTACCTCAGATGTTCAATAACAGTCAAGAAACTCGTGATAGCGTCCGTAACATTTTAAAATGAATTACTTCAACTTTACCCCTTGAAACCCTCAATTTATTAGCTTCATTGTAAACTAGCAATCCTCTATCATGTTAATCGTGATAGAAAACGTAAGCTCTTGAATACCGTATTAACAAAATTAGTCCGACAACTCTTAGTTATACTCAGAGCGTTGTTCGTTCGTACCTGTTCCTTGTTCTGAAATCCATCGATCCAAAACCATAAATGTCACCATAACTTCATGCTCACGAGACTTGAATCTTGACGAGTACATTGTGTGGCCTCTGCTGCTGTAGGAATAAGTCATCAGAACTTGTGATAGACCCATATGATAAGTAGCTTCTCTCTGGTCGCTAAATTGGATGGTTGGATCTCTCTCAGTGGTTATATTGGACGGTTGAATTTCTCTGGCCATTATATGGGACGATTGAATCCCTCTGAGCCGTTGAATTGGACGGTTGAACATATCCGGCCGTTATATGGGAAGGTTGAACATCTCTGGCCGTTATTTGGGACAACTGATCTCTCTGAGCCGCTATATGGGAAAGTTGAATCTCCCTGACCGTTATATGGGACTTTTGAATCTCTCCGGCCGTTATCTGGAACGGTTGTATATCTCCGGCCGTTATATCGGACGGTTTTATCTCCATGGGCGTTATATTGGATAGTTGAATCTCTCTGAGCCGTTTTACAGGACGATTAAATATCTCTGGACTGTTATAGTGGGCGGTTGCATCTCTCTGGACCGTTATATGGTACGGTTGAATCTCTCTGGGCCGTTATATGGGACGGTTGAACTCTCTGACCGTTAAATGGGACGGTTGAAACTCTTTTTACGATTTGGAATATAATTCATCCCGTAATATATTGGCAATTGTGAGATACAAGTTACACAGTGTGCTATGTACTATATGAAACCTTGGAGACCACTTCGACCGTTTTTATGGTAGGGATGAGCAGTTGAAACTTCAAGTAGCCCACCTTTTTCATATATTTTGAACAACAGAAAGACATACCGTATCATATATGATTTTTACCAAGAACATACCTATGATATTATGATCCAATCATCAATCGTGTCCTTTATTTCATCTTAATTTCTCGTCCTTGTCATATATCATGAAGCTTGAAATGAATATATATTGTTCCTACCTAGTTCTATTACACTACATAAAAGTATTGAAAGTAAAAATAATTCAAAGCCTTGCTTCATTCACAAGTAATCCAAAGTTTTCTTCGTCCGCTTTTTCGCTGACTGGAGGCCGAGTGAATATATATATGTGTGCAGTGAACTCTTTGTGGTTGTCCTCTTTATTCCTATTTATAGGCTGTCAGCTTTAGAAATGAAGTATTATAACTAGTATATAATGAGACACGACGTTTTGCACACACTGAATTTAAATTGGTTTTTTTTTAATAATTTTTATTCTCCGTGAGAAAAGAAGAAATGGAAACTACTGAGCATTTACATATGGACCTATGTAGTTTGTATTCAGAATAATATCCATATACATGTTTTATTTCGAAAAAAAAAACTTGAAAAAACCCTCTATTCTTATTTTCTTTATTACTGCAAGTTTACATTGGCAGGAACCATTTTAAAATCTTTTCTGAACATAGTAAAATGATAATCCAACAACATATATCGTACTGTACATGTATATGATATTTGCCGCTTGAATAAAACATTATATACTTCTTCATACCAAAATGTTTTTATTTGTTGGTTGAAACTGAAAAGCCTACCTCACTGTAAACAAACTTTTAAGCCCTTCTTAAAATTCTCTAAATTCATTTCACCAGCGATGTCAAAAAGAATTCACATAGTCGCAGTGCCATAGAATTCACAGTATCGCAGAGTCATATATTCTCAGTATCACTGTGTCATTTAATTCACAGTACCGCGATGCTAGAGTATTTACAATAAAACAGTGCCATAGAATTTACAGTATCACTGTGTCAGACAATTCACAGTACCATAGTGCCTTAGCATTCACAGTATCATAGTGTCATAGAATTCACAATATCACTGTTTCAGAGAATTCACAGTACCATAGTGCCTAAGCATTGCACAAGGCCATGTTTTTCTTTGACTGCTAATGACGTCTTAACACTAAATTCATTGGATGTTGGATGTGTACTGATTGATATTTTATTTTTAGATACATGATTTTTTTTAGTTGTTTTTGGCTTTGAACCAGCTGTTAGTAAATGCGAGTACTCTCAGAGCAGTACTTAGTGTCGTTTTTGTTATTGGGATGTATTAATAACCTTCCACGTCCGGTATGTGTGTTTGTTCGTTGTTTTTCGGCTTTGTATCGATCTGATGAGTTAAGCCCTTTTCAACCGATTTTTATATGTTGTTCTTATGTTGTACTATTATCATGATTATACCACTGTTCCAGGTAAGGGGGAGGGTTTGGCGCGCCTGCAAACATGTTTAACCCCGCCACATTCTGTATGTGCCTGTCTCAAGTCAGGAGCCTGTAAATCAGTGGTTGTCATTTGTTGCAGTATATCATATTTGTTTTTCGTTCATTGTTTTGTACATAAATCATGCCGTAAGTTGTTTTACATTTGTCCTTTCGGGGCCTTTTATAGTATGCTATACGGTATGGGTTTTGCTCATTGTTAATGTCAGTACAGCGACCTATAGTTGTTAACATCATCTGATGTTTATATATCCTATATGTGTAACCATGTTCTTTCACTAGACCGGTATCAAATTTCACCACATACTGGCGTATTTATTTTTGCTTAATTTAATAAACTGGGACCATCAGTGGCTGAAATCAATGATATGCTATCAATACTTTTTAGTCCCATTTAAAACCAAAAATATAATTACATTGAACTATTTTTTCCCAAGTTAAAGGATTTATAACTTACTGTTTAATCTACCTATGTGAAACCATACTAATTATGCTTTAATTTCTAACCTCTAACATCATACATGTACACGTCTCTCTTTTGCAGTTGTGTGTATGGAGCATAAATTACTGTTCCCTTTGCAACTGTTCCTATTTCTTACTATCGTTCAAAAATTTGTTATACTTTTATTGATTGTGTCCTATTTCCGATAATGGCATTTTGAATGAGTGTGGATTTGAGTGACGTGTAATCCATTCATTGCATGAGACTCTTACCTGTGTGACGCACCTGACGAAGCTCATTTTGGAGTTCAAACGATTATCTAAGTTGTGTTTGCAACCTTCGTTTGTCTTCTTAATCGATTTTATAAGCTTTGAACTTCGGTAAACTGTTGTTGCACCAATTTCAACCGTATAATGTTTTATATGTGCAATCCAGTTTGTTGTCATGTGTGTAACGCATTTTAAAAAAGATAGCAACACTTAGTAATTTGTTCACAATTGAAGAAAATATAGTTCATCCTTCGTCGTCATTAGAACACGTCCATTTTTTGAAGGTTGATGTACGACGGGGTTTGATAGTGCATATTTGTTTTTGTACAACGCCAAGTGTTCCTTTTGTCCAGTTTTAACGATAATAAAAAAAAAAAAAAAAATGAAAACAAAAAGCACATAAAAAGAAACTGGATAAACAACAATTTATTTCTAAAATGTGTATATTAATTTTTTTTAATCACTTGTTTATTTAGAGTAATTCTAAAAACTTTATCTATAATTCAAATGCTACACATCTGCACAAATACAATGTTATTGTTTCTCAGTATTGCGGTAAACATTAGAAAAAATATATGTTTCAAAGTAAAAAAGAAAATATAGAGTATTCTCAAAATTTCAATAATTGATGATACATTTATAAAAATATGTATAAGATTACTTAATACATATATATTGTTAAATAATGTTTCATAGAAATATGATAAAAAATGTCCTTGTTTGAAAACCTCATTGTTTTAAACTAACATCAAATTGGAGTTAACAAATTCATATATCTTCCTACTTTTTAGAAGACTTATTCAAACAAATAAAGAATGAAAAAACGATAAGGAAGCGCTAAATTTGTTGACATATATCTTAAGGAAGTTCGCTACTCAGTTTCAAAATAACAAGCTTTTCATAACATTAGTATAAATTGATAGGGGATTAATAAAGAAACAAAAACAGCAAAAATAAAATATAGGTCAATGTGCTTGTTTTCGAGATATTAGCCATTGAAATTTTGCCGGGACAAAATCCTCTCTTGATTTTTCATAGCTTTATCATTGACAAGTTAAAGTTCTCAAAAACTATTAAAAAATAATTAAGATTTTATAAGACTTTTACAGATGGCTTATAATTATACATGTAAAAGATTTTTAAAAAGAAAAATGGGGATAAATGTGTAAAATTTTTTAAGGCATTCAAATAGATAAAACCAGAGGATTCCGAAAATCTGACAAAAATTCCAAAACATGACAAGCAAACTTCCTTAAATTAATAAGTCTTTGAATTAGTTCGTCTTGTTATTTGATTATTTGGTCTACTGATTAAATTACATGTAAACCAAATGTAACGCTTAGGCCAAGTTCACCTCTTTTTCGATAAGGTGTGGATCTGACAATCTGAATGAATGTTTCAGTAGTCTGTTGTGTAGTTAATCACTATGTTAAAAAAAATAAAAGGAGGGAGTGCCTGCAATTACTTATAATACTTAACCGTTGATGGGGCTTTCTTGAAAAACAAAAATTGTCCAGTTAAAATATGTGAGAAAAGCTTTTATTGCGTTTACAATCATATGCAACATTGAAATCATAACTATTTGGTTAACATGGTTAACATGAACATCCTATACAACACAATGCTATACAGTTAGGAGAATGAATTCTGAACATACAAATCAAACAAGACAAAATAAAAGAAATGTACATAACAATTGATATTCAACAGCAAGTATAATTACTTGTTTAGACAAAAATACAAACATCTGTCAAAATAATGCAATGTATGTACCTTGTTGGTTTGGCGTTTCTTTTGAGATTACAACTTTGATATTTTAACAGTACAAATAGACATGGATAGCGGCAAAATTAAATTCTGAGGAAGACCCAAAGTAAAAAGTAGGGTTAGTACAAAATTTAGTATGAGTTAAAACTCTCAGAAGTTACTTTTAAATTTATTTTTTTTAAAAGAGATGCAATCATATAGCCCTTACATGCTTTATGAACTACTTTCCTACTACCTCTTAGCTTGTATTTAAATGTATTTTGTTTGTGTTGATTTGCTTGAAGTTTAACTTGTGCATGGCAAGAGCTTTTTAAATTAGCTGCTATTAATTCTCAGTTACTTATACATGATTTCCTATGCTCTTGGTGTAAATATTATGAAGTGTGTGTTCACTGCTTTAAAAAAAAAAGAAGAAAAAAAAAAACACCTGCAAAATGTTGGAAATGTTAACACTACATGAATAATATATATAAAGAAAACAAATCTATTGATTTAACTGAAAACCAAACATCTGTTTGTACATGTTGTAAGCAAAAACTAAATATACACATATTTCCTATCTCCATATATTGAAATAATCCATTATTTCTTTGGGTTTGACTCATTTGAATTGAAACAAAACAAAAACGTATTAAAACAGTTGATATTTAATGCATTTAGATTTTGATATGAAAACACATTATATAAGGGATATAATTTTTATTAAAATTTCAGTTAGATAGAATAATCTCCCTTTGTATACAATATTTCTGTATTAAAAAAAATTTGAACACAAGTGGATATGTTACTCTTCACTACAATAATAATTTGTTTTTAATTATTGTTAGATGTTTGTTGTTTACACTATGATCTAAAATTTTCTTTCTTTTTGTTTCTTTTATTTTTTATGTTTCTTTTTCATTTTGGCCCATTATTACTTATTGTACAGCAATTATGATGCATTTAGGATACAGCAGGAAAGTAATGCAGACAAGTTAGAGGAGGTCAGACATTTCAGAGTTCCTTTGTCACTTACTTATATAATACATTATTGAAGAATAAGGTCGAAATACACATCAAACTTAAATTTTTTGTTTAGCTATAAAAATAAATATTTAATAAATGAGTGATAATGGTATAAAAATTGTTTCATACAATTGTCAAGGTTTAAATTCAAAGGAGAAGAGAAGAGATGTTTTTGATTATCTTAAAGCAAAAAATTGCCACATATATTGTTTGCAAGATACACATTTTTCAGAAAAAGAAGAAATATCAATAAAAAATCTATGGGGAGGAGACTGTATTTTCAATTCCTTTGCAACAAACAAAAGAGGGGTAGCACTATTTTTTATCAAAAAACTTTGAATACAAGATACATAGAATAAAAAAAGATGATCAAGGGAATCTGTTAGGAATTGATATTGAAACTGAAGGAAAAAGAATAACTTTAATAAGCTTATATGGTCCAAATAAAGATTCACCTGAATTTTATTCTAGAGTTAGTGACACAATAGAAAACTTAAACAACCAATCAGTTATAATAACTGGAGATTATAATTTAGTCCAAAACCAAAATCTTGATACTTATAATTATCAAAATGTAAATAACCCGAAAGCCAAAGAGAAAGTTTTAGATATAATAGAAAATTATGATTTAACAGATCCCTATAGGGAACTGTATCCTGAACTAAACAAAATTACATGGAGAAAAAATAATCCCATTAAACAAGCAAGATTGGTTTTCTTTTTAATATCACAAGGCCTTAATTAACATGTACATGGTGTACACTTTTTTAACAGTTATAGATCTGATCACTCCCCAATAATGTTACACTTAAAGATGAATAACTTTATAATTGGTAAAGGTCTATGGAAATTTAACAATTCACTTTTACATGACATTGAATATTCAGCTGCTGTTAAAGAGACTATAAATAAGGTAAAAGAACAATATGCATCATTAGTATACAACAGAGAAACATTAGAAAAGATAAATGACTTAGAAATTCAATTTACTATAAACGATCAACTCTTTTTAGAAACTTTATTAACAGAAATTAGAGGAAAATCAATTTCATATGCTTCTTTTAGGAAGAAACAAAAAGATAAAAAAGAAAGAATATTATTAGAAGATGTTAAAAAACTAGAAGAACAAATCTTGTCAGAAGAAATCTTTACTGAAATTGAAAAAAAGAAAAACTGATCTAAAAGTATTAAGGCAAGAAAAAATGAGGGGGTCCTACATCAGATCCAAAATGCAATGGATAGAAGAAGAAGAAAAACCTACAAACTTTTTTCAAAATTGAGAAACCAAACATTGTATACATAAAACTATTCCCAAATTAGTCAATGAAAAAGGGGACACTATCAGTGAGCAAGATAAAATATTAAAGGAGGCAAACAATTATTACAAAAGGCTATATACCAAAACAGAAAGCTTGAATAATGTTAACCTTAATTGTGAAATCCCTTATACTGATATTAAAAAACTAAATAATACCATAAAAGAATCTTTAGAGGGTGAAATTACTTATAATGAATTAACATCAGCTTTGCGAAAAACGAAAAATGAAAAAAGCCCTGGGTCAGATGGTTTCACAAATGAATTTTTCAAGTTTTTTTGGATAGATATAGGGAAATTTGTATTTCGCTCTATAATTTATGGTTACAAAAAGGGGGAATTATTTATTACTCAAAGACAAGGTATTATAACATGTATACCAAAGGGAGATAAACCAAGACAGTTCATGAAAAACTGGCGACCAATAAGTCTACTAAATACCACATATAAATTAGCATCAAGCTGCATAGCTGAGCGTATAAAATTAGTTCTTCCTCAAATTATAAACAGTGATCAGACCGGTTTCATTCCTGGTAGATTTATAGGGGAAAATACTCGTCTTATTTATGATATTTTATTTCATACAGAACTTAATGATTTACCAGGACTGCTCCTTCTCATAGATTTTGAAAAAGCTTTTGATTCTGTATCATGGAATTTCCTTGAAAATGTTTTAGACTTTTTCAATTTTGGCCCTTCTATAAAACACTGGGTAAGAACCTTTTACAAAAATATAAGTTCTGCAGTTTCTCAAAATTGTTTTTTATCTGAATTCTTTGAAATTCAAAGAGGTTGTTGACAAGGGGATCTTTTATCACCTTATATATTTCTTTTATGTGCAGAAATACTTGGAATATTAATTAGAAAAAATAAAGAAATAAAGGGAATTGAAATAGATGATACCGAATATTTGATCTCTCAATATGCTGATGACACTTCAATTATTCTTGACGGTACACCAGAATCTCTTGATGCATCTCTACGCCTATTACATAAATATGCTGAAATGTCTGGTCTCCATATGAACTTTGACAAGACAAAGGTGGTGTGGATAGGGAAGACAAAATATAGTCAAGACACCAGGTGTGTAAAGTGGGGATTGGAATAGGGTTCCAGTAGGTTTAAACTACTTGGAATAAACTTTTCGGTCAATTTGCAAGAAATGGAATTTTGAACTATTATCCTAAAATAAAAGAAATTGAAAATATAATTAATATTTGGTCTAAACAAACACTTACTCCAGTGGGAAAGATAACAATTATCAAGACACTAATTATTTCAAAATTAAATCATCTGTTTTTAACATTACAAGCACCATGCTATACTACTCTTAAACAACTTATTCATACAATATATTCATTTATTTGGGAAAACAAGCCTGACAAGATTAAAAGAGAAATATTATGTCTGGAATATAAATTTGGGGGGGCTGAAAGTGCTAGATATTGAAGAATATATTAAAGGGTTAAAACTAACGTGGGTCCGACGGTTGCTAAAAAACAATACAAAACTCAAAAAGCTAAAAGAAAGCACAGAAAATATTAATATTGAAAAACTAGTTTTTCTAAGTCCACCCAACAGATGTAAAAACCCCTTTTGGAAAGAGGTTTTTCAAGCATGGACAGAAATGCAAAATAAACTTATACCAAAAAATGAAGACGAATTTTTAACAGACTCACTTTGGAAAAATGGAAGTATTAAAATAGGTAACGCATCTGTTTTCTTTAAAGACTGGGCTGATAATGGTATTTTGTTGATTAATGATCTGGTAGATAATGAGGGTAAATTAATGTCTTTTGAGCAATGCAAAAATATTTATGAAATTAAATCTAACTTTCTAGTTTATAATGGGGTTATATCAGCAATAAAATCATATCAAAATTCTCTTAAACATAATAGCTATATAGACAATCTTTATAAAATTTATGGACCAATTCTTCCAAATAACATAAGAACATTTTTTTTTATCAAATAAAGGGTCAAAAGATATGTATAATGTTTTATTAGAAAAAAATAGTACAAGGCCTAGATGTGAAGATAAATGGTCTCTAAGATTAAACAAAACATTTGATTGGAAAAAAGTGCATAATATGTCTTTTTACACCACAAAAAGCTCTAAACTTCATTGGTTCCAATACAGAATAGTATACAGAACCATAGGCACAAATGGATTTTTATTCAAAATTAAGATAAAACAAACAGATAAATGTACTCTCTGTAATGAAGCTATTGAAGATATTGAGCACATATTTTGGACATGCTATAAAATTTCAGATTTATGGATTGAACTTGGTGATTGGATTTATAACCAAACACAAATATTAATTTCATTTAATATAGATATTATTTTATTTGGAAATTTAAGTACCGGTAACAAAGGAAATAATATGATAAAAAACTTAATAATACTCCTTACAAAATTCTATATTTATAGAACAAACTCTGTGAAAATAAGGTAAATTTTACAGGACTTAAAAATTACCTGAAAGAATCTCTGGCACTAGAAAAGAATATATTTTTTAAAAGAAACCCTTTTCATATGGCCAATATCTGCTAGGACCCCTGGCTTCCAATATTAGAAGAATAATGTTTTATTATACAAAAAATAGGTACATTGTGTACCGGAACTACTTTCACTTACATTTCTTTACCTTATCCACATCACCATCCATGTTATGATTTAATACTATTATATGTTGGTTTATATGTATGCTTGATGTTTTTTTCTATGTTTATAACTACATTTATGTTCCTCTTAGTTATTGCCTGTACGAAAATATCTGAAAAAAATCCTTTGCAAGCTGTATTATGAATACTGTAAGTAAGATATATCTTTTTGTTTTTTGTTTTTTTCTGTTTTTGCTTTTTCCAAAATTCCAAATTTTTGTGAATTTTTATTTATTTATTCTTTTATTTTTCTATTCTATTCAGATATATGGATCATTCTATATTGATAATGTATTAGTTGGATATATTATAATTTATAAATGTATATATTACAGATAAAATAAACTAACAAGTACTAACCAAATTGATTATATACCACTAACGGTTAACGAGGCCGGGATAAAGTACCGGTATTTGATGTATCCACTAACAAATGTCAAAACTACCAATAAAGTATGATTTACTAAAAAAAAAAAAAAAAAAAAAATCTCTGAAGTTCGAGGCATTTATGTTGAAAATATACCCCACAGCCCTATGTCTTGACCTTTGAAAAAAATATTAGTGCATATATGAACTTTCCATTCTAGGATTTATTTTTTTTACGAAACTTATGATAAAAGTGGCACAGTTTTAGTCGTAAGAGTTCCTATGGAAAATTGCATTTTCTATATTTACAGAAGTGCAACCTTTAACGTTTGTAATGTCATATTCAAAATCATCAAATTTGGAGATTCTGTTTGTTCACTCATGCCTTTGTGCATGCATCTGTGTATTAAGATCAAATACAGCGATTGTTTTGTCTAAAGGTCTTACATTGTAACTGATACTGGATTTAAGTGTTTTAGTCCTGCCATGGAAATACGCCGAAAACTATACCAAAGGAATTTCTGGTTAAATATCATATGTGGAGTAGTGCTGCAGTTTTCCCCTTTGGGCAAAGTGATTTTTTGTATTAAAATAAGACTCCATCGAGTGGAGATTTTTTATTTCGATATTGCTTTTGCTCTTTTGATACCATGGGGTTTCCCTTAATTAATATCGAGAACTATTGTTTTGAAATGCGCTGATCGTCCATTCGATTACATTTGACATCATAAGCTTTCCATTTATCAAAATGTTTATAATCAATAAAAATAGATTGTTTTTAAATATTTTTACAAGCTTAACTAATTTTTGTAGTACACTGTATTCGAATATATTTTTCAAATAGGATATAATGCCTGTTGCACTCTATAACCCTAACATTTTAGATACTGTCTCTTAAAAGTCCTTGTATATTTTCCAAGGCTGCATACTCTTGAAATTAACAGTCGATGATGCTTCTAGCGCCGCCATTTCAAAGGAAAATTAAACAACGACTGGTATCTATTCATTCAGTGCGAAAACCGTTATTCACAATTAGGTTTTATGAAAAGTTGTGTAAGCATTACCGAACTAAATATTCAATCCAAACAACACAATTATTGTCATGTTGTTCTGCAACAAGAGTAGAAGACGGTAGTTTCCAATTGGAAAGTATATAACAGCGCTTTTCTAAAGTAGGGTTTCACTTATAGTTAGAAATTAATGATTCTCACTTTAATTTATTTTGATTCAATTATATGTATCAATACTATTACGATATACAGGTTTCTGGGAACTGCCTTTTCGTTTGAGATTCCGAATTGCATTTACCATTCGAACGGACTTAAACGAGAAAAAAAATAACATATTATCGATTTCTTTCGAAAAAACTATGGAATATTAAGGGAAAATAGTTATTTAAAATCAGATTTAAAAATTAGTCTGTGCATTACAATATATATCAGTCTTATAATACATACTTGATCATTCAAGATCCTTTTGTGGTCTTCAGCACTTTTGATGTCTCGATATTTTCAATCCTTACCTTACGAATATTATGTTTTGAGCGTTCCTGATGAAGGTAAATCCAGAAAAGCGCGTCGGACGTATACAATTTATACAGTGTTATTTCATTTTCTGTTTTGTTTTTATTGACCGAAACGCAACGTACCAATTGAACTGTGCCAGTATATAGTATATGCATTCCGATAATTACTGTTTCTTTTGTGATGATCTAGGCTAAATATTCTGGAAATGCAAAGCCTATAACATATATGAAGAGCTAATATAACTTACAACAACAAAATCATATTTATAGGTGATTAGCTTGGAACAGTTAATGTGTATACCAAGTTAAAATTTAGGTATTCTAGAATATTTCTAATATGATTCTGGAATGAGAAAAAGTCAAAACATGTCTGATAATGAATCTTCAACAATTTGTATGTGCTTGCCAATGTTCCTAAATGCCTGTGCGATTTTTCTCAAAGTTGGTTTCAGATTATGCATCTTACAAAAATTGGTTCTCCATTCTTCTAAGATATCTTTGTTAAGTTTTACCAAATCTCTTTCAGTTGTTTGCCTATAGCTTAACCGTTCCCACGTCTCGAACTCCATTTCAAGTTCAATCAGAAATTGTAGGGAGTTATTTCCAATTTTTGGAGCTAATTTGTCAATGTGTTTCTCTGTAGGTACAACGTCCCACTTCTCAGGTTCTCTATCTATATTTTGAAATAATAAGAAAGTATTGTTTTTCATTCGAGGTTGGAATTATAAGTTCAATAACAATAATATAATGTAAGCAATTATATGAAACAAGAAATAAACAATTTAGACAAATGAACACAACGTCAATAAATGTCGACATCAGAAGTCAATATACAAACAATGTCCATCTTTGTCTGGTATCCTTGATGAGTTTTTACCGAAATCACTTTAATGCTGTATTTATGATAACGCTATTGTCTTTGTACATGTATATCATATCTCAGGAATACATTTTACCCTCACTTACTACATCGTTCGTTATTCTGTTGTTTTTTTTCAGAAAATTGACGTCTCAATGACTTTCTGATAAAGTGTTGTTCATAGTTAGACTTATTGACTCGGTTACTAGAAACCAATTTTACAAATGAAAATGGTATAGTCTAAACCTGATGAAGCATGCATAAGAGGAGATTCTTACCATGTCGATGCACAAGGTCTAGCACCATTTTGAGTTCGCGCTATAAACTCAGTTATTGTTTGTGACACTGATTTGTATCTTCTAAATCGATTGATGAAATTGGAATATCGTACTCTTCTGGTGTCTACTGATGCACCAATAATTTTTCTCGAGTGTCCGATACAGGTTCGAATAGAAGAGAATTGCGGATCAATCAAAAGTTGATAGGTTAAATTATCTAAGACAATGGACGAAGTTGACTGGAATGCACTTCTTCATGATAGTAAGGATGTAGATGTAATTTTACTAAAACATTAAAAAATATCGAGAGGGCGTGCATTCTAGCTTAATAAGTTACTATACGTAATTCTGATAAACCATGGTTTAATGAAGAAATAAAAAGAGAAATTCGAAAACGAGACCGTTTTGGAAATTTTCCGTGACATATAAAAAGGGAATCGTATATATTATGCAGTAGAAGAAACAGTGAAAATGAGTTAGCAATTTTAAAAGAATCGACAAAGAAAGATAAAAATTTATTTTTATAATATTATATTGGAAAATCATGAAACGAATTGTTTTTAAACATGTATATAATAATTTACATATGAGTAACATAATTTATGAATATCTTTTTGTTTGTTTTGGTCAAAGTAATCAACGGTACATCAGCTAATATAAATGTATAATTGTATTCTTAACTCACTGTACATGCTTAAAAAGAAGGAAATAAATTGTTTTATCTATTGCAATTTTTCATGCTAAGGGAAAACATGGTAATCAACTTAACTTATTTGATAGTTATCTTGGTAATAGACAAAAATAAAAACTTGTGATTAATAAATTATAATTCTCATTTTACAGTCTTGCAGCTTGCGTTCATCAAGGATCGGTACTTGGTCCCTTGTTATTTATAATATATATATAAATGACATGACAGATAAACTCAAATCTTTGATCCCATGCGGATGACATTTTTTTTTAATTACTCGTGGCACGATGAAGGACATATAAAAACTGTTTTTGTTTTGGAAATGAGGGAGCTGAACGAACGTCAAGAAGGTTACTTATGTCTTTAAAAGACACACCAGATCTTGAATTTTCTTTAAATGATAAAGGAATCCTTGTTACAAAATGCCAAAATCATCCTGAAATAATAATTTGCTCCGATGTTCGGTGCAATTGCCATATTGACAATGTTATTACCAGTGTTACAAACCATTTAAATATACATAGAAAACTTTCTATGAAAAAGTTAGTATTCATCTGACCAATTTTTGAATTTGCAACTGAAGTTTGAGATAATTGTGGGATAGGATATGTTAATAAACTGGATTGTTTACAGCTAAAAGCTGCTAGAATACATTTGTAGTTACTAGTTTGCCTCTATTTACAAGAACTGGAAGTCTGTATGAAAAAGTTGTGTGGGAAACTTTAGCTGACAAAAGGAGAAGACGAAAATACAAATATCTTTCAATATTCAACATAAACAAGCTCCGGATTATCTAATAGTATGTAATCTTGTTCAACCCTGTGTACAGAGCACAACTATAAATCCTTTACGAAATGGCAATGATATTATTGTTTCTTTTTGTAGATGATACCTTCGTTAGAAATTTTTTATATCATCAACTATGAGACTATGGAATTATAATGATTCATCCCTTCGAAAACCAGAATCAATTAAAAATTTTACAATCCAATTGAAAAGGCTAAACACTTTAAATACAAATGTACCTAAGCACTATTTATATGGAACGAGGAGATGGAATTTAATTCTTATTCAATTAAGATGCTCCTCAAATGTAGCGCGCCTCATTTTCCCTCAATCATGACTTGTTTAGAGTCAATATAATTGTTTACCTATCTTGTCTTTGTGTATGCAACATTGAAACTGTACACAATTTCCTCTATGACTGCCCTTTATATTCATACCAGAGAGATATTCCGATGAAAAATCTTAGATGGCTACCTGGTGACCTTATATTGAAATTTAAGTTACTAACACCTGTTCATCCGAACCTCTCGTATGAACAAAACGTCTAGATATTTAAACTGTATTCGAATTTATCAACAGGTTTGATTGATTGATTGTCATATGATACCAAATACAAGTAGTGTATTCACATCATCATAATTACCAATTCTTCAGTTATCATTATTATCATCTTTTTTTTTAATAACTAGACTCGTAAAGTATTGTATATTTTAAAATATTGCATGCTGATATTAACATTTTATTGATATACATTGTAATTCGGAGCGGATTTCATAAGTATTGTTTGTCAAATCCATTTTATATTGAGTAAATCAAATATGTTTAAACTAAACTACTGTTGCCTGAACTTATCCCTATTTTTTTACAACTTTCTGGATTTTGTAATATTTTCAATGCTCTTGAACTACTCTTCATGGTATCTCTGTTAATTCCCTTCTGCCATTTCCATAAAAAAAACGTTGGCTATTCATCACATTCGAATAAAGCATAAAAACTTTAGAAATTTCATTCTCTGTGCAACTTATGTTACAAACCCGCTTTCAAACCGATACAAACTTACAGCTATCATCTCGGATATTGCAATAGACAGACTTATCAAATCAGTTCGCATTTAGAAAAGATGAGGAGAAAAGATCCCTTCTTAAACTTTCCTTTGCGAACAGAAGTCTCGATGCCATTAAATTCATTCATCATAAATCAGTTCACTCGAAAAACCTCTCTATTTTAAAGACCAGTCTGTACCTGTCATTTCTTATACCTTACCAAATCAATTGCAGATAAAACCCCAAACAATATCGGGTTTGTGGGAAAATCACATTACATAAACTGCTTGATAAATGAATTATGTATTAACAATCCACTTGGAAACTAAACATATACCCCCACGACATTTACCAAGGAGGAAATCCTGAATAATGATAGGTCAATTCTATGTTCCTTGGGAATTTCAGGTAAAGATAAAGAACTGGATCTTCTGTCATTGCATTGGATACCTAAATTACACAAGTGTCCTTACAAACAACGTTAAATTGCTGGTTTTCCTCTTTCTAAATTATTAACACCAATTTTATCAGAGCAATATTCAAAATAATTGTGACATTACCTATTCTAGAATCGGCGTTAATTAGATATGGATACGAAAAAAATCCAAAAATCTGTTGAAGTACATACGATCTAAAACTAACTCTTTTATCTTGCAATAGTATTAAAACATTAGACTGTCCTACCGTTTACACAAGTATTCCAAACTAAAAGACAAATTGAAAAAATTGATCCTGTTTTGTTTCAAAAAAAAGAATGACCAGCGTAGATACAAGTGTCTTGTCTTAGGGAGGGATAATTAGTACTTTGTAAAAAAACACCCGGATTCAAACAAATCATTCTCTGAAACTAACATTATCAATATGCTTGATTTTTTTATCGACAACATATTCGTTACGTTTGTATGACATATTTTTAGAACAAACATTCGATCGGTCCATGGGAACCAAAGGTCCTTCTCTTACTTCCGACTTGTTCCTTTATTCATTTGAGGCTTACTTCAAACAGAAGCTGCTTAGAAAGAATAATAAGAAGATAGCAGTATCCTCTAACTTCACTTTCCACTATGTAGATGATGTCACCCCATGACATAATTTTTGTGACTTGTTACACGTATCTATTTTATCGAACTTTACATTAAGGATACACCGGATACAGTTAAGTCTGCCACATATCTTTACTTACATCTAGAAATTGACAATGAGGTTCAGTTGAGAACAAAACTGTACAACGAAAGAGATGATTTCATTTTCCAAATTGTTACCTTTCCATTTCTATGTAGCAACAATCAAGCAGCGCATACATTTGGGATATATATCTCCCGGTTGATACGATATTCCAGTGCAAGCATTTCCGATTATTACTTACTTGATAGAGAGTTGTTGTTCACAAGGAAGCTTTTAAACCAAAAGTTCCATGTGGGAAGTTGAAATCAAAACCGAAATATATTCCAGCACCATCACGAGTTGGTTGACCGTTATGGAATATCCGTTTCACAAATGACAACTAATACAATCAATGTTATAACCCGAATAACTTGATAACTCCACGAAATTGATCGCTCCTACTTGCGAGGGCTTGAATTCCTAACACGCTTACAGCTTTTCACGAATCCTGGATTTTGATTGGTGTATTGTAGGAGAGGTGACCAATCAGCAGTCAGCTCAATTTTATCGAGATAGGTATATCACGAACTAATTCCGAATTACTACTAAGGGGTGTTTAACTACCTTGACTATCCATGAGGTTCTCGCACGGTCGGTGTGATTGATTGACGATTGTTCATTGTCTATGCATTCAGATGTTAATGTAGTAATCGTAGATCAGCGGGATATAACGAGCGAATTATTTTTGGGTTATTGATATTATTGAACACGCCAGATCACCTTACATACAGCGTTCTTATTTTTCCGATCGATTTAGCATAAGTATCGTGTAATGTCATACATGATTTTTAGTATTTTTATTTTTTACTGTGTACCTTAGTCGCATTAAATTGATGAGGTTCAATATTCATAGGTAAAGCTACTGTACACATTTAAAATCATGAATTTCTAATTAAAGAATAGTAATGTATATCATCGATCGATTGCTTATATTTAAAACACATGACTTACCAAAATCAATAGAACCTCCTTTAACAAGCTGTAAAAGAAGAGCAGACATATTTGGATAATGTCATTTGTCATCATAAACTGAAAAGAGTTTCTGAGTTAAACTGTCGAATTTAAAATATTTTCAGTATTTTTCGTAATAGACAGATAATACAAAACACGTATCAGAAATTAAATGTATAACCATTTGATGCATTCTGAATAACATGATAAGTGCAGTGGACAGCAACACAACGATAACAATAAATAAAACACATCTAGATGACATCATACAGTCGTCAATAATAGATTGGAGTATATTCACTATGTTATCCCCAAAATCATCTATGGTCTGTTAAACTTGCGACGAAAACAATCAAAGATTTGCACTTATCACTCAATTCTCCAGATACCGTAATTATAAAATTTTAATAAACGACAAGTACAAAAATGCACCAGATTCCTGGCTATGAACAGATGCATGTTCTGCTCTTTTGTCGGGTTGTTATCTCTTTGACACATTCCCCGTTTCCGTTCTCAATCTTACATGTAGATGTGGTTGTATTAAACTGGTGTTTGCACTGATACGTTTAGTTTTACCTTTAGCAGGTATTTCTGTTTTATAATTAGTAAGTTGCTCTAGCAAACAATAATACGAACTGTTTGTATTGGTAGCTTTTGATATCATTTGTGTATTCCATGTACATAAAGATTTAATATAATCAAAATATTAAGAAACAAATCAAACTGATATGACTAAATGATTAGGCAAAACTTTGATTTATCATATATCTTTTTGTACCTTGCAAAGTCTATGTATGTTTTCTATCTTGCCATTTTCAGATGCTTCTCTGATATGTTTAAATGTCAATAAAAAACTGTCCCGACATTTTCTGACGACTTCAAATTTCCATGTCACTGTATCATCGATGTGTAATAGGTTGTCGAAATCTGCGGAATTCATCCCAAATAGTAGTGCTAGTTCCCTAATCTCATTTGTATTGTACAATAATGATAAGCGTCGTAGGTGTAGGTCTGTTGGTCGTTCTTTCAAAAACTCTTCATTTGTAACTGTAATGACAAACTGCATATTATCAAATAGCAGTATTTAACATAAACATGTATCAATAAAAAATCTAAAACTGTGTTATCAGATTCTCTTAAAGATTTTCATGTGTTCTTTTATCAAATCATCTTCACATAAAACAGTACTGAAACAGTTCTTATCAGAGATATGGATATACGTCACCAAACTCGTAGCGGACATCCGCTCATTATGACAGTTGTTTTTTTACAAATTGTTTCTCTTTTCTGTCTCTTTGCATTTAACTATGGTATTCATCTTAGAGTTTAAATTGCTCCTTAAATATCTTTCAATTTTTAAATTATCTGTAATATCAGCGTAAATAGAATCTAAGTGCAGGGGTCGATACGTGTTTTAAAGGGCTTTATTTGCAGGAGTGTTTTCTTAACACAAAAACTGCTCAAACAAAGATATAAGAAAGAATGACTTAAATCGGCACTACAATAATGTTACGGTCACCATCACGAATTGTTCGACCAATGTGATATGCCTGTTTCTCAACTCTCTAGCGATATGTTTTGTAGTCGTAGATTTGTCATACCAGAATTATCATTAATTTTATCGATTTTGTCCATTTCCCGAAAATGACTTTTTTACTGGATGTGGGTCCGCATGGCCAATGATACATGCATACCAGGATATCAGGTCTCGGTCTGTTTGGAGTTATTGCGATTTTTTTGTAATTGTTTTGTTACCTTGATTGGACTTCTTAATCGATCGATGAGATATGAACAGTGGTAAACTATTCATGACTATTCGAGTTAAGATTAGCTTTCTTTAGTTACTTCACCAAGTCAGGAATATGGCCATTGTTTTTTAGTTGTTCCGTTGATTGATGGCGTTTGATTTTGTCTGTGTTTTTGGACTTCCCCCTTTTTGAATATGCCTTGGAGTTTGATATTTTTGTTATACTTTTTTACATTTGTAATTTGTAATTTTGTTAACTGTAATAGGTCTACACAGACCAGCCATACAATATATTAATATATTTTATTGTATCCCTTTCAATTTCCCTACTTTTAGAATTCATCCTATTCCCTCAGAGTTTCTTTTTACCTTGATTAGTATCTTCGTTGTGGATTTACGAGATTTGAACATCAGTAAACTACTGGTGCCCTGAATTCATTTTCTCATTTTCATGCAAAGTTAACTAAAACATTACAATCAATCTAATCATGTGTACATATCCGAATTTAGCTTATGAAATTAGATATCAAATGAAAATAGAATAACAAAAAATATGGTACGATACCAATCAGACAACTATTTACAAGATACAAAATGAAGCGTAGGTAAGCAATCGTAAGTTTTTATGCGGCCTTCAACAATAGACAAAACTACTCTGACATGACAAGTAAAAAAAAAAAACAAAAAAAAAAAATATTACAAAAGCAACCAATGATTACCACATAATCTCAAGCTAGAAAAAGAGAGGATGAAACCGAATTAATAATCGTCCTGCATGTTAATTCGGATCATATTTGTCTGTCATTTATCATTCCACTGAAATTTGCATGGATCATGGAAGATAAGTTATTTTACCTGAAAAACAATTGATGACTTCACCTACTTGTCTTCATACCCAAATAATTTGTATATTTAAACTTATAAAAATACATAAAAACACCAAAAGGTATTGTCCTCTATTGCTCACTTAAAATAGCATACCTGGGCACTCTGGTTCACATATGTCTTGATCCTGCAAGAAATAAAAATGATGTTAGCGATTCATTCATCATAGACTGAAAATATAGATGAAATAAATACATTGTTACAACATTCTTTCTTTCTCGGGTTGTATTCCAGTGAGATTTATTATGGGGAAACATTATTTTTTTACAAAAATGTAATAGCTGTAATTTGCGTTGAACTAGCTTTCAGTAACTGCGAGTACTCGTATATCGGTGCTTTTGGTCTATTGTTGTTTTTTAACGTTAGTTGATTTATTTGTACTTCGTACCTATTTATTGCATTAAGCCATTTGTACCGATTTTTACTATTTGCTCTTAGGTTGTGATGTAACACCACTGTCCCAGGCTAGAGGGAGGGTTAGGCGCTCACAAACACGTGTAACGCCGCCACATTCAGTATGTGCCTGTCCGAAGTTAGGAGCCTGTAATTCAGTGGTTGCAGTTGGTTCGTGTCTGTCATATTGGTTTCGTAAAGTGTATTGTATAAATTAGGCCGTAAGTTTTCTCTTTTGAATTATTTCATATTTTTTATGTCGGAGCCTTTTATAGATGACTATATGGTATGGGTTTTTCTCATTGTTGAAGGCCGTTTGATTACACATTATCTTCGTCATTTGACCTTGGGATACAACTGTCTTGTGTCATGTAACAGCTTTAATATGTTATACAAACACAAGATATTTAAAGATACTTGCAATGGACTGCATCGTAACCATATATGTTAATATTGTGTTAAGACTTTTTTAATTCGATAAATTCCTTATCGGTTTTATTGGGAAAACCGTAAGTTTTTTTTTATATTTATTGATTCGATTAGGTTTGTAATATTCCATCATGTAAGTTGTATAAAATTACATTTGATATGCACAAATTTTTTGTATATATACCTTTCGTGGGAACCACGATGTGATTGTATGGATTTTGTGTCCAATGCCATGAGATGGACATATCCATTCTGTGCCTATGTTTGCTAGTTTGTTGACTTCGAGGATACATTGGTTATCTGGTGAGTTACAACATATGTTGGTTATAAAGGATGCATCATTCGTTTGGTTGTAGTTACTGCTAATTCTGATATACAACTGACTTATTTTCTGCAAGGCAGATGTTAAACATTCATTGATGCTGGAAGCCATATCCCTCATTATAAGGGTGTTTGTTCGAGCATGAACAAGACGAACTATGATCCTCTCATCTTCACAGATAATGTACATATCCAAAGAAGGATCAAGAGTGAACACCCCTGACCTATGAAACAGCATGGCCTTGTCGGTCTCTCTGTTTGTTTTTACCGCCCAGACATAAAGACAGTAACCTATAAATCTAAAGGATAATGCAGGAGGTATTATCAATGATGAAGATCGAAAGACTATGGCAATACTTCTGTGTTGGAAGCCAGCTGACTGAAGATATCCAGAATCATCTTTAGCTCGTACCATACTTGCAACATAGTAGAAGTCAGCAGGAATACGTGTGTGGTCGGAGTCGTATCTCTTGGGTTCTACCAATATATCCAGGTGGGTCATGACATCCAGTAAATAATCCTTGTTTTTGTGAAATTCACGATATTGTTTTTTCTTCCAAATATTTTGGATTGCCGTTTTTGAGACAACTCCTTTCTTATCCATTTCATCCCACAACGCTTCTCTTTCTGTGTCACCTTCACAGAATTTTCTATCAGTAACAATAGATTTAAAAGCATCAATGAGGAAGGTTGGAGACAAAATAACATGTGTATTCAATTTTTCTTCATCGAAGTACAAAACCTTGCCAATAGAATGCTGAAATTTCAGAAATACCTTTAACTCAGTTTCCGACAGTGGTCTAATAGATTGCAATGAATTAATTGCCTGTAGATGCTCTAGTGTAATCAGAGGAATGCTGCGTTTGATAAGCGATGCAAATTCTAATTCTAGAGTGATAAAACACTTCGGTAGAGGTTCACCCCATGTAGGTTGTTTCTCTGATTCGCTCCTGATAACATCCTTAATCTTTGCCATCTCCGAGTCATCTTTATCTTTAGCGTTTACAAATATGAAACCATCAACCACCAAATGTTGCTTTAATGGTGTGTGTTCAAAGATCTGACTAATCTCGTTAAATAGTTCACGTCTTCTGTGTTCAACTTTATTCTAAACAAAATATTTTTTTTTTCTGTTAAAATTATATTTGACAAAACTTATCTTTATTGAAATAACATTGTCAATTAGACAACTATCCACTAGAGTTCAAATAAGCAGATACAGGCAACTATAGATCACCATACTGCCTTCATCAATAAGACAAAACCATACCGTATAGTCGGCTATAAACATGACAAAAGGCCCCGACATAAAAACATAATTCAAACGAGAAAACTTACGGCCTAATTTATAACAAACAATTTACAAAAAAAAATTAAAATTTGACAGACAGAACTTCTGTCTCATAACTAAAGCAGACACATGCAGGATGTGACGGGGATACATTTTTGTGAGAGCGCGCAATCACAATAACCTGGGACAGTAGTGTAACGGTGCATCATAAGATCAAACTTTAATAATCAGTTAAAACACATCTTTAACTGCACCAATTACATTATTACAATCCCTGAATTGCTCGAAGTTACAAAACAAATATACAAGGACCAGTTGAACAATTTCTAACTGAAAAAGTTTAAATTAAGGAATAATGACATTAACGGTATTAATTTTACTGCACCAGATGCTCGATTTCGACAATGAATGTCTCTACATTCATGCTCAGGACAAAATATTTGAAAATTCAAAAAACTTGAAGAGGTATAAAACCAAAATAGAACAAAAAGTATAACCAAAGCCTGGCCAGGAATCCGAGCTTTGCATGACAGGGATATATGTCTTAATCAAAAATAATTTCCAACATTTTTAACAGCAAATTTCAATAACACAATATCCGTTATTTAATGTCAGTACCGGAATACTGGCTACTGGGTTGGTGAAAAACTCTGGGACTTCAATTCAACTGACAGAGGTATCGACATGGTGGTAATAATAAATTTAACACTATCTATTTACTGCATAAGGTGCGCATTTTGACAATAAATGTCTTTTAAGTGAAGATCAAGGCCAAACTATTTGAAAATCCTATAAAATAAAATGAAGAGCTAAGAAATAACAAAAACACGTATGGCAAAGGCCAGGTTATGTATCTGAGCTGTGCATGAGGGAGATATATTGCTCAATTTGATATAATTTCGAAAACACAATGAAAATAATTGATTTATCACAAAATAGTCTTATTTAATCAAAAACACGTTCCTGGTGTAGAAAAAAAATTTAACCCGGTGAGGGTTTGTAGAGCTAGTTACTTGTATATATCATTATACGTAATTATATAACACTTTGTATTTTCTTCAGAAATCGGAAGTGGAAATTCAATTTTGTTCTAAGGTTTGTTTTCTATAACAATATTTAACTGTATTTATACACAACACATAGTTACTTTTGTGTTGCAATGAATTATCATTGATTTGGTCATAATCATAAATCAACTGTTAACAAAATTTTTCGAATACTAGGGATTTCCTACCCCAGGAATAGATAGCCTTATCTATTTAGCTGTATTTGGAAAATCTTTCGGATTTTTAGGTTCTCAATGATCTTCAACTTAGTACTTTATTTGAACTTTTTTTTTTTTTTTTTTTTTTTATTCGAGCGTCACTGATGAGTCTTTTGTAGATCAAACGCGCGTCTGACGTACAAATTTCAATCCTGGTACCTATGCTGAGATTATTAATATATTTTGTCGAATTAGATTAACATCTGGCCAGATACATAGATTGAAGCCAAACACGGATGTAACCACCAGTCAGGATGAAAGACTGTGGAGTGTTTATCACAGTGTTTGTGCATATCAAAATATAAATAACATGAGGTGCAAATTTTCTCAGATAAACTCTTTTTTTTGATTGCTTTAAATATTCACGCTATTAACAACGTTGTTGAGCAATATATGATGTTTTGCATACACTAAAACTTAATGCATCGATTTTAAACAGTAAAATAACGATTATCTAAAAAAAAAAACTATATATGTTCTCCTCTTTTTTGCAATACACCATTTACTTGTTTACACTACACTTTCATTCTGTTCGAAATCAAAACTGTTCATATTTTTAACTGAAGTAAATGCTTGTTTAAGTATTGTATACTTACAGGTTGAACCTTGTCTTTATGCGTTAGAACAATCATAATTTTTGGAAAACCCTGAATACTTCCTTTGCAGTATGTTACGATTGTGTTGATCCAGAATAGCAGATAATCTGTCAGAATAAAAAAAAAATAAAAATCAGAAAAGCCACCTGTTTAAAAATCTAAAGAAAATTTCCCTAGAAATATCTTTATTCTTATTAACAAACATCTGACCGACTCTTACATTAATAGGCGTAAATTTGAATTGTCTTTAAGATTCAGGTTGTATTCATGAAGAATATATTACAAATTTCGATTGAAAATGAATATATGTTTATTAATACCTCTTGCTGTTTTATGTCCACTTTTTCCTGGGAGATAATGTTCATACAGACAGGGATCATCGAGATTTCTACTTCCATCCAATACAATCATGTAAATAGCTCTGTATGTGAGAAATGTCTGATGAGTTGAATAGAAAACATCCTGTCCTCCAAAGTCCCAGATAATTACAGGTGCTATCTTTTTATTGTGTAACATCTTTTTCCCAACTTTAGAAACCATTTGAAAGAATTTGTCTTTTGTGATAGTCACTTTGACTTCTTCTACTTTTTTGGTAACTCCAAAAAAGTGTTTCAGCTTTCTGATAGATCCAGGTTTAGTGACAGTTTGTATATGCATGTCACCTGTGGGACTTGACTTCGAACAAGCATCATCTGGGTCTTTTGTTGGTTTGTTTGTATCAAACGGAGCTTGACTAAGGTTTTCGTCTTTCGAAGCATCAGTACTACCCTCTCCAGTTGGATAATATTGTACGACTTGTTCGTTCCGATAGCTAAAGCCATCTGAACTTTTTCTATCAGAAACTAATCTCCGTAATTCTGAATTAGGGATTTTGTCTTGTATACCTGTCGTATACGTGTCATCGTCTTCTGGCATGCAAAATACATCTTGACTGCTTGGCGTTGTATTTTGTGAATTAACTCTTTTCTTTATTCTGACTTTATGTAAAAGGGATCTACTAGTGGTAATTTCTTCCAGGGAAAAATCTATGATAAATGAATAGTTCAAATTATTTTCAAAAACCTATGACCTCTGATTCAAGTTTAATATGCGAACATGTTTACAAAACAATTAAGCAAAGAAGTATTTTTGTTTGTACAAATTAACAGGTTTTACAACTGATTCCTAGTATATTACTTTATTTTAATAGATCGCTTTTTAGCTTTTATTTCTTGAACGTGTCTCACATTTATCATAAATGTAGTGTTGTCCCTGGCAGACCAAATCCTAAACAATTAGTTTGCGTTTATGATTATAGTTAAACTGCTTGATAAAGAAATTTGAAGTTGATAATAATTGACATAGGAACCAAACATTTACTCCGGTGATATTCACTAAAGACGAGTCCATCCCCCCCCCCCCCCCCCTAACACAATTGCCGGTTCCTTTGAATTTTCAATCAAAGATTAACAATTAGATTTATTTTTAAATGTACTAGAAAAATAATTTACATTTCTGTCCATATAAACAACTTAATATTGATAGGTCTGCCAAATGCTACACACAAACCTCTTTCAAAATAACGACATGAATTATATAAGCAAGAGCAAGTAGTAAATCAATATTGACGGTCAAACTTCAAAGGGATTTGTAAAATAACTTTTAGTCACTTATCTCGTAGAAAAATACACAACATATGACCTTTGAACTCTTTCTATATGCATTTCCATTCTGAACTTATACTTAGAATGAACGAATCCAACTTAAAAACTAATAAGCTGTTTTTGTGAGGGACCGTCTTTAGTGACTTTGTAAGGAATCACTCCGATTGAAAACAAACAATCAAGATGCTGGTTTTTTTTATTGACATTATAGTCGTTACATCGGAAAGAAGTGTTTTTCAACAGTCAATGGGCATATTTATTGACATCAGCTGTGTCTTTCTGCATCCGCACATTTGTTTTATGCTTATCATGCAGCCATTTAAAATGAACCATTTATAACTTCTAGAAATGAGTCTGAATCATAATATTGTCATGCTATCAAAAAAAAGTGTTGGAACAAAGTCAACGGAGTGACGTATCACAAAAAAAGTCATTATAATACGTAATTTTGGTTTCCTTCCCCCAAGAACATCAAATGCCCCTGTCAAACTGACAATGTCATAGCAAAATATGAAAACGACAAAAAGACCAACAGTACACCAAACACATCAAAGAGACTTATCAACACGAACCCCACCAAAAAAAACGGGGGTGTTCTCAGGTGCTCAGGAAGAGTTAGCAGATCCTGCTCCACATGTGGCACTCGTCGTGTTGCACATACATGTAAGTACAAATCCGGCGATAAGTCATATTTGGTAGGTCACATTAAAGGAAAACAGGACGGGATTGGGGTTACGAAAAAAATTGGAACATAGCCGTAGTCATCTGTTAAACAGATATTCCACAACGGTCAACCAACTCGCGATGACGTCCGTACACTTTGCGAAGGGATGATTTCAACTTCAACACTTGGCACTCTTGGATTATTAGCCTCTCTGTAAGCAGCAACCCTCTATCAAGGAAATCACGATAGGAAATGCAAGCTCTGATAAGGATATTTGTAGCATGAAAATTCATTGACCCATTACATTTTTTATTTGTATTAACGACCTTACATCTTAAACTTATTCACGTGTTTTCAATTGCTTTATAAAGGCTTACGATATTTAAGCCCCTTGGTTAACATATTTCGCAGAGAAGTTTACATGGGGGCCATGTTCAGGTAACCATCAATAACTTGAGCAGCCGGTTTCTATATAATAGAGAACTAGAACAGATGTAATCAGGAGGTTCAGACTTAAAGTCGTCAATATTAAGATCCAGCAGCACTAATATGTAGTTAAAAACTGTAGTCGAAATAGTTGTGGCAAATGTATTAGAGATAATAAGAACTAACTGATCCTTAAAGTAGGTAGGTAATTGCGATTGAACTGATGTATGATGAAGGATGATATTCCATAAATTGACCGCATCGTTACCTTTGTTTGAAAGTTTTAGAATGGATACTTGTAAATGTGAAACGCTATAAATATTTTTTGACGGGCAGTATTATATAAGACAGCTGTAACTGTGTACAGGTTTGAAAGGGGATTCATAGCAGGGATTTCCGATCATAAGTTGTACAGAGAATATATTTTGAAAGTGATGATAGTTATTACTAGTAGCAAGATGTCAGTCTAGGACGGTCACTTTGGTCCCATCAAGTCTAAATCGACTGAATTTACCGCGATAGAAGAACATTTTCTTCAGACTTTCAGACGCCGTTCCGATTGATAGTGACGACTAGCATTTCAGTCCGTTAGGTCATGTCAAGATAAACAAGACGTTCTAGCGTTCGATTTAGATCTGTTAAGACGGTTTTGGGAGAAATCAGACCAATCAAACATAAATAATAACGTTCAAAGTTGTCAGGTACGACGTGTTCTGATCCGTTCAGCATGCCAGTATGATACTAGGAGTTATGCCCCTTCTGGTTGATAATACTTTTTAAATAATGTATATGTTTTGAAAAATCACAATAAAATCATTGTTGATTTTTTATTTCTGTTTTTTTTTTCTTTTCAAAAGAAATTATTAAATTAATCTATCTATAGTTTTTTTTTTTTTTTTTTTGAGGAATTAAGAAATTATTCGTCTACAAATTATTCTAGTTTTATTTTTTTAATCTATGTTAATTTATTTATGTATTTACTTATTGAAGTCTTATGTCACGTCAAATTTAAAAAAAAAGTTGAATATGTTTTATATACTTAAATGGCTTAGTTTTACTATAAAACGAGTGTACGTGAACTTTCTTGTAAAAGAAAATCCTCTGTATTATTAAAATCTTCAAAGATGAACTGCTATTGAATTATTGTACACTAATTCGCCGATATTTTCCCGTATTCAGGGACCTTAACCACGACCTCTAGTTAGAACATCATCCACCGCACAGCGCAAGTGCGAGGTGGGAAACCGTGAAAGAATGTAAACAAACGTGCACTGGAAGGTGAATAGTAATAACTGATTCTTAAAGAACAAATTTAATACAACAAATCATTTAACAACTGTTGTGGAAAAGCTAAATTAACAAATGGGAACGCATGGAAAATATTTAAAAAACAATTATCTTGGCTCTATTAATTCACTTATGTGTCACGTACTCCAAATGCTCTGTATTAATTGTTTATTAATGTCACGATACGGTAAACCTCGGCAATAAACTCGAATGTTTATTAGCTTGCGATCGACAATCACTGAATGAAATATTATTTGTCAATAATACGTTATAGATTCGCAAATAAATATAAAAAAAAACGTGCATGCAGGACTTAGTTTAGAATATATGCATGCAATGGTTTAACAATTTCAATAACACTAAAAGTACAAGAAACAGGTTTTCTAATACTTAAATTGTATATTGAAGAATCTGTTAATTTTCACAAATATTTTCTAAAACCTGTATTTTATGATAAAGAATTTGTACATGTATATTAAATAATAGTTATAATAGTTATCAACGGTACAGGATTATAATCTAATACGCCAGACGCGCAATTCGTCTACATAAGACTCATCAGTGACGCTTAGATCAAAATAGTTATGAAGCCAAACAAGTACAAAGTTGAAGAGCATTGAGGACCAAGAATTTGTGCCAAGTACGGCTAAGGTAATCTATTCCTGGGATAAGAAAATCCTTAATTTTTCGAAAAATTCAAAGTTTTGTCAATAGGAAATTTATAAAAATGACCATATAATTAATATAAAAGTGACATTATTATAACAAACGATAATTGCGTGTATTGGAGAAATCAGTTTCATGTGTAATCGTTGCTAAAAAAAACATGCGTGTTATAGGTAGCTTAGCTTCAAAATGGTGTTAACCCGGCAGGAAAAACACGAAGTCCTTAACCCAAATTAAACATGTAAAATGTGTAAGGTAATGGTTTTTCATCTTTGACAAGAAGTAATTGCAAATTTTAAACTTAACAAGTATGTTTTATGTCACTCTGTTTCCTGTTTAACTTAATAATTGTTTCGAAGCATTTATTGGTTATTGTCGTGAGGATTGTTTTGTGAAACTTGGACAAGCGAATATATTCTTAGCTTTGTAACATATTTAACAACAACATTTAATTGAAATAGTGGTGCGTCTCACAAAGGCCGCATTAGTTCACTAAGCTCCTGAAACTGCGTTAAGTCCGTGCCGGGACAGTGTTTAAATAAAAAAAACACAGCATCGGATAAAGCTTTTCAGTAAAAACCTGAAATTTAAGTTCAGTACCCATAGAAGTTGGCGTAATTTAATATTTTCTGTTTTTAAAGATTATGTTTGGATGCACGTGCCAGTAATCAACAGGTAATTAAAATCAATTATACATAAAGTATAAGAGACATGGCAATTACATGACTTTTTCAGAATTGCACATGCCATAGATTCAGAGTTCTGTATGTGCAGTTTAGGGTTTTAATAATATTATGATGGCTAATTTTAAAACACTGCAGACGACAAAGTTAAAACTATCTGAAGATATCGCAAAACCGCAATTTTGAGTAGTAATTAGAAAGAATTTACGAGAATGAAATTGTTAACCAGAATTCTTTAGAAATTAGTATATATTGTCTTTCGGATACATCTTTTTCTTTTTGTCTATATATGGATGTTCTTTGATACCTAATTTGAACAAAAACATGTAAAACTTTGAAATTTGTATAAAAAGTATTTCACAAGCAACTTGTTGACATAAATTTTGATTACCTAAAACTACGTAAAATTCGATGTTTTATATATATGACAAATGTAAAATTGATGTTCAAAGTCCAGTATGATTTGGCAGTTATAAGATTTTGACTCTATGAATAAAACAATGACTGGTGAAATTGGCCCTACTATAAGATTTCACTTTTATTTTGAAATTCCAGTAAATGATTTGAAAGGGGGAATTGGCCCTACTATAACTTACCTCCGCCCGTTTCAGGCTTGCAATACAAATGCTTACTCATAAATATCAGATAAAATTGAA